CATTATCGGTTAGTCTTTTTTTGCGTTAATATATTGTAAAACTGACATTAGACACTCATTCATTTGGGTGATAGTATCTTTCAAGTTCACACCTGAAACCATCAAAAGAGTATCATCACATTCTTGATAGTTTGTGATGTCATTTAGCAACATAGAAGAAGTAGTGGGCCCTGCAGGAAGTGTGGCTAGCAGGAAGTGTGAAAATACCATCAATTTCAGTTACTTTCTTACGACTAAGTATCGAACCGACGAAGGACATTATCTTGAATAACTATAACATCCTATGACGTTTTCACAAGGTGAAATGTTATTGCTTCCACTTCCTCAAGCTTGTACTTGAAGACAGTCAAGTCCAGAAATGCATTCATGATTCAGCCTAGTACGACTGATGATAACCTATGGCAGCTTGAAACAGCGCTGTCTGGTATTGAATGACCATACCAGACTATTTTCTGAAGGCTATCCAAATTAAATGAAAAAATGTGTTTTAGGATGATATAAAAGTTTGAATTACCTGGTTGCCCAACCTCCTAGCAATTCTTAGATGTTGTGTATGGCAATCTACTGCCGAATCAAAGTCACCCATCGCTAGGTACACAGCTCCGACATTACCGATTTCTCTTGCTTCTTGTAATTTATCACTCATCTGTTTCACTAGTTGAACACATTGCTTGTGTGAGGCAAGGGCGTTTGGGTAGTCCCCGATGGCTGTGTAAACGTGACCAAGGGATGTTAAAGCAGCTGCTGCAGCCTGGGTATCCTGAGAAAAAAGCAAATAGATAGTTGGACTGCCATTAAATCTACTGGATTTATTCAATCATCGATGTATTTTCGTCTAATCTCAGATATTTGAACGGCTAGCCAAGTAGGGCATGGAGTTGTTAGCAAGAAAAGAAACTAGAACTACTACTCTTCTATTTTTCTCACCTTGCATTTCATTGCCAACACCAATTGGTACCTATGAGCGGTTAGCGCCTCTTTGTATGAACCTTGGCTGAAGTAAGCGGATCCCAAGTTTCCATGGGCTCTACATTCTCCAGCAGTGTCCCCTAAACTTTTTGCTATTGCCAGATCTTGCTGCATGTAACTGAAATCATTTAAAAAATTGATGCTTCGCTATATGAGAAGAGTTGTGAAACTAACACTCGTATAAAGAATTTTGGATGATTCCGTTGCCGTCACTATGGAAACACGTAGACCATTCAGTTTTAGCAATAGTATCAAAAAGATTATCAAAAATGGAAATCTGTGTTTCACTCCAAGCAAACTTTTCTGAACTTTGCAAAAATTATGAAAATGACGTCATTGAATTAACTCTTGGTACCACCTTTTATATTATTTTGTTATCATTCCTGATGTTGATCACTACCCAATGTTACATCATTTAATTACGTGAGGCGGTAAAAAATGGGCTATTTGGAATGTGACGTTTGTTGCTTTTCAGATATATCATTCCACATTTCTAAACTTTTGAATTCATCTTGAAACCTGATGTAATGTATTGGTCTCGACGTGTTCCTTGTGTCGAGTTATTATGGTCCGCCTAGTTTGTCCAACATACTCTTTATCATAATCCTGACCGCTCATTTCGTAATTGCCAGACGTTCCTTCTTAAGGTGTCTTGTCTTCAGAATTACTCAACACTTGTTGAATTGTACGAGTAGTTTTGAAAGCTATTTTCGTATATAATTTTTTTAAACGTTGGACCAATTTGTTGGTGTATTTTGGTTCATGAAGAAGATCTAGAAACAATTTGTTGCCTTATATTTTTTAAATCATTTAGCGTGATCAACTTTCCGTGCTGGTTTTTCACATTCTTAATGTCCATAATTTTGTTATTCTCTGAACCAATCTGTCACTCTAAAGAATAATTTCCAATTGGAAAATCTGTTGATATCTGTTAACGAAGAATGCTTTTCAGCAATTACTGTAGCCATGATTGGGATTTCTTTGTTATTTGCATTCTTGGCGTCTGATATAGTTCTTTTAGGCCAGGTAGATTCATTAACTCTCAAAAATTCTGGTTTGGAAAACCAATATTGGAGTGTATCGTATTTCTTCCATTTCTGTCGTATTTTTGGGTTGCAATATCAACGCTATTCATTTTCGATGCCACCCAATGCCAATCCTCTTCATTGGTAAGTTCATCTAACCTGTGAGATACTAAATGACTGAGGCAACTAGAATTATCATTGATCCAATGAAGAACTGTTGTGGAATTTGATCAATGAAACATTTTGTCGATTCTGAGGTCAACTTCATTTTCGGGGGTCTGCCATAAACGATTTCCTAGAAAAGCTGCCCATTGATCTATCTTGGGAACCAAGCTTTTGCATTAATCAAGGAAACATCGATTTTTCCAACTGTAACCACTTTGAGGTAAGTTACCGAATCAAAACTTCCATCACAGAAGATATGTATTTCTAAGGTTATAGCTCGTGAATTGCCGAGGACCATTGGAGAATTACTAGGTTAGTTATTCTTTGTTGATCACTTTTCCAATCTAACCACTTGCCATGGACTTATTCGTCTATGGAATCATCCCATTTAATTCCGGTTGTCCAAATGCCTTGAATTATGAGACGTGATCAAAAGGCCAAGTGGATCAAAAACTGCCATCACTAATTTCCGTTTACGTCTTTTTGTGGTTCGTTCAGTATTGCTTCCTTCGGAAAAAAATCAACTCTAAATATGAGCTGGTTTTCAGTATCATTGCAGTCCAATATGAAATCCTTGTTTATGTCTTCGTTGAGTTTGAATTTTTTCTCTGAGTTCTTCGGAATTTATTGACCAATCAAACAGTTCAGAACTGGATCAACGTTGGAGATTACTTTGAGAGCTTCTTCGGTGGAGTCTGCTGGATCGAGGTAATCATCTACGTAGTGAATTTTTGTTATTGCATCAATCGTTCTTGTATCATTTTCTGTTTGAGTGGCATCAAGATCAAGATGAATTGGATACAAGGCGGAAGCATGTAGCACCGAATGTCATTACTTGCATTTGATACATTCTGAATGGTTCGTCTCCATTTTCTCTCCATAAGAACTTTTGAGCATCTTGGCCCTCTAGTTGTATTTCAATCATATGCAATGCAATCTTCCATTGCCGGAATCTCATAAAGAAAGGTGATTCCGGCAAGGCGATGGACATTCAAGCTGGTTCCCAATGACTCCGGTGCTACATCGGAAACTAGGCTTAATTTCTGTAACTCTATATTTGCTAGACGTCGTATAGCAGTGGCTTTACTTGGTTGCAGTGCAGACTTCTATAAGAGACCAATTTCTAATCTATTGCCGCTGATGCATTTTGATGTCTTCTCCATGATAGTTAGAGCTCTTTGGACGTGTTTTTAAAGAAGAAGATGATGAAGTTCCCAATGCGTCAATTTGGTTGCTAGAAAACATCGTTCTCCTCCAATATCTTGATTGTTTCTTTCGTTTCAAGGAATTTTTATTGGTTTGTTTCTTGATGTTACTCAAAATTTGTTAGCGAGTTTTACAAATACTTCCGAAGCACTCTCAACAGAAATAACTAACTTGCTTAGCGAAATGCTCGTGGAGATACAGCATTATCGATTTGGTGTGGAACTAGTGTTTACAATAGATTGATTTTTAGCTAGAGGTTCCAATTCTACCTATTAAGATCGATAGTCTGTTGAGCAAAAGTTGTTCCAATCTAAAACTTACCCTATAGCCTTATCCAACTGATTCAACGCCCAATGTGCTGAGCTCAGGGCGCTGAAAACAGATCCTCGGAGTTTCAGAGAACACGATCCTATTCTCAAAGCAGATTCAAGGACAGTTACTGCCGAGTGATACAATCCTGCTGCTAGAAGCTCCTGCAATGCAAAGACGAATTGATAGTACAGGAGATAATCGCATTAGTGACTCTTGGTGCAATAATGCAGTGAGTATCGCATGCTATTTTATCGCCGACTAGAATGAGTCTGAGGTGATAATTAAGCCTGAAAATATTTTATTTTCGTTCAACCAAAGATGTAAATTCACCTTTACTTTCGAATATAGCGGGAGGAATAAAAATTTGTTTAATAAATTTATCTTGGCTTCATTCCGCACGAACCATGGAGCATTCACCAGCATCCTGAGAAGTTTATTTTGCAACCTTTCCAAAATGGAGAGGTTTGACGGGGCGGTTCGTCCCCAAGCACCTGAAGCATACATGATGAGAGGCTTGAACATCGTGTTGTATAATAAAATCTTATTTTTAAGATTGAGTTTTGAATTTCCATTGACCAGAGGATAGAGTTTAGCTATCCTCATCTGCACTTTGCTCTTGATATACCTAATCAATGTGATTTGCCCAGGTGAGTCGGCGTTCTACCCAAAGACCTAGGTACTTTACGTCTCCTCAAGTCTATCGCTCACGTAAAGGCTGTACAGTAGTGGAGGCAGCACAGTTCCCTGAGGCACTCCAGCTTCGATTTCCCTGACGGGAGACAGGGTTCCCTCAACTCGGACCTGAAATGTTCTGCCTTTCAGGAAGGACCTAATCCACCACAGACTCGGTCGAAGGCTTTCGAAATATCCAGGAGGACGAGATGGACTGTCTTCCTGTTGTTCAGCTCTGAGATGGAATTTTCGACCAGTCTCAGGGCCTGCAGCTCGATGGAGTGTGCTCTCCTGAAGCCGAATCGTTCATCAGGCAGAACATTTCGGTCTTCAACTTCTTCTGTTAGCCTTTACAGCACAACACGTTTAGCCAACTTAGCCGTTGAGCAAAGCAGACTAATCGGACGATGATTCTGGGGAAACAGCAGGTTCTGGCCCTGTTTTGGAATCATGACAACTACGGCATGCTTCCATCTTCGAGGAAAGTATCTGAGAGTGATTGAGCTGTTGATAATGTTCAGCACGTATCTGATGAAGTTCTCCGGGAGCTGCTTCAACAACTTGTTGTTGATTGAATCAATTCCTGGAGCCTTCTTGGGTTTGGAGTCCCTAATGTATCCCTTCAATTCTTCCTCTGAAGCTGGACGGATCACGTCGTCATCATTTTCTCTAAGGATGCGCCGAACCCGGTGTTCCAGCCGGATATCACGGTCAATATCATCATCCGGATCAACGTTAAGTTGAAACTGACCCTCCATGGTGTCTGCAAAGGTCAGCGTCTTCTCGGCGGGAGAGTAGCAGGGAAGAGGGAAGGGAGCGGTTTTCCTCTTCTTCGAGCGATTCCAAACACTCGCTCCACCTCTCGTTTCTATAGTCAGTGATGGCCTGTTTAAGTTGGTTGGCCATCCTGCTAGCCGCAGCCTTGTCTCCAGGGTAGAGAGTCCGCTGATAAACTCGTCTGAGTCGATTTCTCTCCCGGATAAGGTTCTTTATCCTGGGAGGAAACTCATTGTATCTCCGCAGAAGTTCTGTCCTGGTTGAGGCTGCGCGGAAAGCGTTGTTCACAGACAATTCGAAATCTGCCACTGCCGCGTCGAGACCGTTGCGAGTTTGAAGCGCCTCACGGTCCGTACGTGTCTCCACTAGGTGAGCCTTGAAGGCTTCCCAATCCGTGGATGATCTCATGCAATAATCCTGTGGAGGGGGATCATCACCCAGAATCAGGAAGACTGGATTATGATCTGAGTCGAGTTCCGATAAAGTGTACACTTCGCAGGACATGGAGACGTTCCTGAGCAATGCGATATCAAGCACGTCAGGTCTTAAATCCCCACGGTAGAACGTGGGCTGGACCCATCATCTGGACCCATCACTCGATACTCATGCCTGTGAGCATGCGCATGGAGCGCTCGGTCGTTCGCATTAGTGAGTCTGCTCCAAAGATTGTGCTTGGCGTTGAAGTCACCAGCAGCAATTGTGGGGGTATTTGTCGACATCAGCAGTTCATTCATTGATTATGGGAGAAGACGATTCCGCGGAGGGTTGTAAACTGAGATTAGTCTATGACGACCTCTTGTCAGTTGGAGCTCAATGCCCACGGTTTCCGTGCCATGTAACTGATCCGAGTCAATGCCGAATTGTACGTGAGGAAGGTTACGTTTGACAAAAATGCCAACTCCTCCTCCAGCACGTCCAACGCGTTCTCTGTGGTAAAAACGGTAGTTTGGAATACCAAAAGGTTCATTGTGCAGGTGGGTTTCCTGCACCAGTGCAACATCGATGTTTTGTGGTATTAGAAAATTCTCAAAATCTGATTTCTTGTTTGAAATACTGTGGGCATTCCAAAATACAACCTTGAGAGAATTAGTCAATTTTGGTTGTCTAGCCATTAACAGGTTCCAGTTAGCACGTTGGTGTTCACCGTAAACATCTTTTCGAGTACGGGGAACAGAATGAAGAGTTTCTTCATCTGGTCCAGAGCGGAACAGATGTCACTAACCTTCGACGGGCGGGGACTACTGGGCGCCTCGGTCGGCCTGGCGTAGGTGTTACCGCGCTTGGCCGCTCCTGCGTAGCTCATTCCCGGGCGTGTGCCAAATGCTTCGACAGGATGCTTTCCAGGTGTGGGTGCACATCGGGGGGCATTTGAAGCTACTTTGGTCCTCCTGCAAACCCTGGGTAACTCAGGACAACCGCGGTAGTTTGCATTATGCACACTCTTGCAATTATTGCACTTGGGCGGATCTGCTCGTGGCTTCTTGCACTCATCTGAAAGGTGTCTGGAGGAAGGTGAGATATTTAAAATTCCGCATTGATTGGGAGCTCGCAACTAACCATACACAAGTGTTCGAATGGTGTTCTGCATGAGCTGACTTCGCTCTTGGATTTATTTCGAAAATTATGAAAAATGAAAGTAAGACAAACTAAACGCTACAAGTTGAATTTTGTATGGGTGCAGGTCAAGTCACGGCGTAAAATCGACTGGCTCGGATTCTCCTGCACACTCTCACAGACAATGGCGATGTTTTCGGCAGATCTTGCGTTTCGTCGACGTAAAGAGATTAGTCGTTTGTTTATTGAACCAGTGAACCCAAATTCATCCACCACATTGCGAATATTCCTTTTGGTAGAACGATTATGGAGACCGTAAAATGGGCGAAGCGCGGCGGTACGTTGCCCAAACAGATCATCAATTTTGATAAAACAGGTGCAGGTGTTGTTGAATGCTATATCAGACTAAAAAAATTACTACTAATTTGACAGATGTAGCTTCAACAAAATGGCCGTAATCAATTGTTAAAGTTCGAAATGCCTGTTCGAAGACCCTCTATCGTTTTAAATATATCAAAGCTTACATTTGAAACACACAGTCGGAAAAACAACACACTAGTAATCTGCTGAACTATCCAGTGAAATATGGTCGATTATTCTCCATTCGGTTTTCATCATTCTATTCCATACTAGTTCTCCCTGGGGGGCGCCACTGATGAAGAGCACGACGAACGCATCTTCTTGTCGACATAAATCTAACATCGCCGTTTCGAGAAGCAATAACGGNTGAAAATATACAACTACCTTCCAGCAAGAATTAGGGAAATCAAGAATTATAATAGATTCAGAGGTAGTGTGAAGGTTTTACTCTTTGATCATCCCTTCTATAGCTTGGATGAATTTTTTATAGCCAAATTATCTGAATGAACTCATTATCCATATCTGTCATTGCTGAGGCTCAATTATGTGAATATGTATGTATGGATGAGTATCCTGTGTTTATTTGTGTTTATACATCTGTAAGTGTTATTTTAACTATATTTTAACATACATCCATGTACGACAACTGACTTTGTCAACAAGAATTGTATTCTTTCGACAATAAAGCATATTCTGATTCTGATTCTGATTTTACCTGTAATAGGCTTTGGGCCATGTTGGACACAAATCTCTGGCTGTGACGGCATCCTGAAGAGCTTGCGCAAACAATCCCTGCTTCAGCCTGGCAGCAGACCTGTTGGAGTACAATATGTGATTGGTTGGATCTAGCTGTAGAGCATCTGTGTAAAGCGCTACAGCCGTTGCGAAGTCTCCATTTTGACAGGCAGCATTAGATTGGCGAACCTGAGAAATTAAAAAATTGTGAGAAACTTGGACCCACATTCATAGAGCCTGAGATAATAGTATTAATAGATAATAGTTTATAAACATTTCTCATAATCACCAGTCTTATTCCCAAGATCAATGTGAATGTTAATTTTAATTAAGGCTTTATGAAGCAACCTATTCTTTGGGGATTGAGGTTAGTTAAGCAACGTATTAGAAGACACTGTTTATAATAATAACTTTCGAAAATGATTTTAGAATTATGGCAAATGAATTTGACGATCATGATATTCCAATCATGATCATTCGAAATACCGTTATAGTCATCTTCATTTTTATCAGGTTGGAGATTTATTTCCTTCCCCCTTCAACTAGGGTTCGTCAGGAGGACGAATGGTTCATAACTGAAGGTGTTTGGTTGGCGATATAAAAGTTATTGACCTCTATGCCGTTCTGGCCTTGCCCTTCCTGACTGAGGTATTTGATGACAGATGTCGTGGGGCCTCCACTGAACCGAGCGACGGAGCCTTCTGAATCGAGTGGGGTCGTCTACAGCATAATCTACAGCTTCCCTGACTAATGGGTTATCGTGAGTTTCCGCTGACTCGAAAACTTTCTGATTCCTCGACTGAATGGACTGCCGTATAGTTAACAGCTTCAAATCTCTGCGGATGGCTTCATTCCGCATGAACCATGGAGCATTCACCAGCATCCTGATAAGTTTGTTTTGCAACCTTTCCAAAATGGAGAGGTTTAACGGAGCGGTTTGTCCCCAAGCACCTGAAGCATACATGACGATAGGCTTGAACATCGTGTTGTATAGTAAAATCTTATTTTTAAGATTGAGCTTTGAATTTCTATTAACCAGAGGATAGAGCTTAGCTATCCTATTCTGAACTTTGCTCTTGATGTATTCAATGTGATTTGCCCAGGTGAGTCGGCGATCTACCCAAAGACCTAGGTACTTGACTCGCGTCTGCCATTCGATCTCCCTGCCTGAGATCTTGACCCTTGTGTCTGGAGAAACGTTACGTCTCCCCAAGTCTATCGCATGATTTTTTTCTGGATTCACCCGGATCTTCCAGTCAAGGTAACAGCGTTCGAGGCCGTCTAATGCGCGTTGCATTTCGCAGCTGTCGGACTATTAGATTGTGGGATAGAATATTTTGAGTGAAGCAACTGTTGTCAGTTCGAAGAAAATTGATAAACATGAATTTAATATGTTAATGAAGCATTGCTTTCTGGCGAAAAAAAATAATACTGTTGAAGGCAAGGCTTGACTTGATAAATATTATTCCGACATTGCACCAGAAAAATCAACCGTTGTGTGGTTTGATGAATTTATAGGAGATGAAATGAGCACCGAGGACAATGCATACAGGGAGCGTCCCAAAGAGGCTGTTACCGACGAAAACATAAAAAAGTCAACAAAATGATTTGGGGTGACCACGAAATAAAGTTGATCGAGATGGCTAAAGCTCTAAAGATATCAAAGAAACGTTTTCGACATCGTGCACGAATATTTGGGTGTGCGAAAGCTCTGATCAAAATGGTGCCGTACGAGCTCACAATCGACCAAAAACAAAAACGAATTGTAGTAACTGCCATTGCAATGGTTACCGTGAAATATTATTTCATTCATAGAGATCGAGGTCGATCACCCGCTTCTTCGGTGTCGATATTTTTCCAGTTGAAAAAGCGCTGAACTACTTTATGACTGTCAGACCTTTAAGCGTCGTTGTGGTACAAGTTGGGCTAGACTAAACAAATGTATATTTTACATCCTGCCGATGATCATACGCTGGAGAAGTTAAAAAATGCTGAGATGAGGATTTTGTGGCTAGCGTTGCTGACACGAGAGCTTGGGAGTTTTATGCGGGAGACACAAAAGGTCGGTCACCAGAACTCGTCGAGATGAGATCGGGAGTCTCATCCCTCAGCCTTCAAGGCTGGGGAAGTTGGCCTAAATAGGGGAGTTATTTTGTCTAACCGCGTGGTGCGAAATTTAAGGAAAAATGTAGTGATATTGTAAGCCGGTATTGGGTAACGGGAAGTTTAAAATAAAAGTGTTGGTGTTGAAGACACACCGGTTCAACGGAACCTATGGTTGACCATGAACCACCAAAAAGGCGTTATGTGAGTGTTTGTTTTTTTAATAATCTGAGCCTGAAAAAATAAAAATTTTGAAATGGAATGTTTACAAAACTTTAGAGGAGAATTTTATAACTTTTAATCTGAAGAGAATTTCGAAGGGGTCTGAAACTACATCTTTCCCGACCCCAAATGGTGATTTTTCTGATCGTTTCGTAGGTAAGAGTGGCGAAGTTAGAAAAACTGAAAAAGATTTTCCCACTTCAATGAAAAATTGACAGGGAATTTTCTGAAATCGAGATGAATGCCTGAGATGCTTTAAAATTATGAGTACTCAACTGAATATTAAATAGAATAAAAGTTAGTTTGTTTCAGAACCTTTGAGAGAATCACTGAAAAATAACTACCTTCTCAAGAAACAGAGATTTGCTTGCGGCTGGTAATTCTGAGGTTCCTTCGGGTTCAACCTGAAAAAAATAAAAATTATATTCAATGCATTACATGTATTCAAAAACAGATGATAATTATTTTCATCACTCTTCGGAAAATTCAATCATACGTAAGGACACGTTTTTTATTATTGTTTCCTTTCTACACTATCATTAAAGTCTCCTTTGTACCTAAGCGGTTTTTGTCTTTTTGCCAAAAAGTAATAATTAACGTCTTCTCGGCTGGGTCTACGCCCAATCCCAGCATTCGTTTCGTACCGTCTGGTTATCCCAATTACTGCGCTCTCGTCCCCTTCACGACAGAATCGTGTAATGAGTTTTTTTTCTCACATTTTGTGGTTTTGAGGTCGGCGAACACAATGAAGCATGAAGTTTAGATTTTAGATGGAAACAATTTGTTTGGATATCTTATAAGTATAGACACGAGAATGGATTTGAAAAGGTGTATTCTAACAGTTTTTTGTGTGCAATTCACTGACCATTACGTGACGAAAATTATTAACATTCTCCATGATAATAATTCAACGATTTCCGCACTGAATTTTATTTAAGACGCATTTCGCCTATTGGTAGCTTCATCAAATGGACTGGTAGATATATACCATCATAATAGGTATTCTATACAATAACAATTTTCAATTGAAGATGATTTATAAGCAACGTCGCACTTGAAGTGACCAACGGATAATCCTCTTACCAACCCTGCAGAGGCGTACCAAAATAATATTTTTATTTATTTAAACACATAGGTAATCACGTAACAATTGTTATAGTAGGTGGCGCTACCTGGTGTCAATGGTAAAACTGATTACATTTTCTTATTATGCCTA